GGTGGTGATGACTAGCAGCCTTGCCTCTAGTTTTACACCGCTAAATTAGGGGATGATTGGCATCAGGAAGGGCATCCGGCCGTAAAAACCCTGCCAAAACCGAAAATAGCGATCCCGTATAGATACGGGAAAAAGCTCCGGAAGAAGAAGATGCATATTCTACGGGATTAATTGAAAGAAAGCTTTTGTTAGAAGAAATGATCAAATTCGAAGACAGAAATAAAAATAGGATTCAGAATGTGTGATCAGGATCAAAGAACACTTACACTGTTAATGTTTCCATTTAATACGGCTAGTGTAGACTTCCAGTTTGAAAAATGTTTCAATAGGTGTAGAAAATTCTTCTTTGAAAGTATAATGGACCTTTTAACTAATAAATGAACTAACTATAAAATAATAATCTACTGTAGTGTTTACTAAGCTAAGTGTCCTTTCTTCACGTTGGGTACTCCCTTAAGTTGGTAGTGAGGTAAAGGCTAGAGTGCATTTGAAAGTTACTGACAAGATGTAGATGAAATATTGTAGACTTGTTAACAGTGAAATGAAAATAATAAGTTACATAATAGAAAAGGTAATTCATTTCATTCTATAGGCAGACTATATGTCTCAGAGAGAATTTTCTTAACCCTTTTGCAACGAGTACCCATTTAAATCCCTTTTTTTATGCAAGTCACTGAGTTACATTCAAAATTTAATTAAACTATTTTACTATCAATGTATGTCAATTAAATTCACATTATAATGTATGTTATAATTTGAAGTTTTATGTTATCTAAGTTTTAATTCCCTTGTTTCAAAAGAAACCTTTAGAAACAAATACTTGAACTTCAGTTTTAGTTTCATGTGGCCCACAGGCTAAGAAAAATCTCAACTTTCACACTCTCTTTTGAATCAGATAAGCCCAGTCCTGTAAATTTATGTCTAGACAATAAGTATGTGTATTTCCTGTAATGACATATATGTTATAAAGTTCTTTGGCTGAATTATGTTAAAATTAGAGATAAATTTTTCCAACCTCTGACAGGTGCCACACCCACCTTCTATACATAGGCTTGAGATTTACAAGCGACATGTAGTTATTTGCTGCAGCTGTTTATAATCATTAGAAAGATCTCATTTTACACTATAATCCAATAATAGTTATTTTGAAATTGATTGTCATCATCAGGTAGATGCAACTGCCCTTTAGTATTGTTGGCTGCTTTGTCTGTGATAGCACTTACGGTTGTTTCTTACCAAAATATGTTACAGTTAGAGAGAAAGTTAAATTGCATATAGGTTTTACTATTATATCTTAGTTAATTATGTATGATTTATGTTTTAAAATGCATTATTGAAAGGTTTAAACATTTTTTAATTTTATCTCAAACATTGGCCTAGTTCTCAAGGCTTATGATCTTGCTGAAAATACTGTAACATGCCTCGAGGGCACTGTTAACTTGTGTTGAGATGAGTAGAAAGTCTTAATTAAAATAATGTCATTCTTTGTGTAGAAGATACTAAAAATTTTTAACAAAATCTTAGCAGTTTTTGTGAGGATGCATTGAGAATTCTCAGAGTTTCCATATGTATTGTTGCCCAAGTATCCTTCCCCAATCGGTCACCCACAAATTTGCAGGAAACCATTGCAAAAGGGTTAATACCCCTTTTTCTTATCTTTTGTTATAGAAATAAAAGTTGTAATAGAAAGAAAAAAGGTATTGGTATATGATGGGGTATTTGACAAATTGTGGAAGGGGTCAGCTCAGTGATAGTATATATATAAAGCAATTAAAGAATAATTAAAATTTATATTTTAGCTGTGACAATGAAAAATGCTGTAAAATAATGCTAATCATCCCTTTTAATTCATGTTTATGTAAAGCAGGCATATAATTCTTAGAACGTAAGTGTGAAACTAAAGAAGAATTTATGAAAATATGTCAACTATAATATATTTACCATATCCACAGTAAAATGTTTAAAATTTTTATTTGGTTGTACTTTCCTGTGTGTCAACTGACTTTATTAATGTTCAAAAGTTGATTTTTGTTTAAAATTTAATAACAGAAAAGCAAAAAACAAATAGATAATCATCACTTTTTAAGGCTTCAAGTAAGCACACAAAATGTGGGACGTGTAAGAGATAAAGATGTAATGTATTGGGGCATGCATCATGCACTCTGTAGATTTCATGAAATGTTCTGTTTGAAATAACGTTTTTTTCTACACTTAACCTATTTTCAAATATTGTATCAAAATTGTTAATATTAAAATAATAGGATTTAAAGGTTTCTGTAGGCTAGTTTGACAAGTACGCTTAACTAGACCTTACGTAAATTATTACTTTATGACCATCTTATAGATGTTGCTGACTAGAGGGATGACAATCTTAAAAGCTAGTTGAGGCTGCATTCAATGCTATTTTTAAGCCATAAAATTCTTGAGCAGTATGGCATTTTATGTTGTTTTCTTGTTTGTAACAGTAATTATTTTTTCATGGTGAAAAAATTTGAGTGACTTGTATTTAATGTTTTTGTTGGGACATATATATATATATATGTGTGTGTGTGTGTGTGTGTGTGTAATACTTTCATGTTGCTAAATTGTAGAATACTGAAGTGAATTTGTAGGTTATGTAGGTGATGTTTTTGTCAATAATTTTGCAGTTTCAAAATTGAAAATATAATTTCTTACTTTTTTCCAAAAAGGTTATAATTTTCTCCTTTGGTCTAGGCTGAAGTTGAAATGCTTCGAAGTCAAATCCGAGCTTTAGAAGAGGGAAAAGCTCTAAGTGAGTTTTGGAAGTCTATAATGTTTTGTATAAATTTTAAATCAGTTTGATTATTTACTTATTATTTTTACTTATTAGCAGTTTTTTGAAATAGAAATAGTATTTTTTATCTTATGTTTTTTTCTGTTCTGGTATATTCAGGTCAAACTGATTATCCCTTAGAGTAATGGGATGGGTTTGTAGGATAACAGGAGATTCAACAAGATATTTATTGTAAAATAATAATATGTTTCTCTGAATACACGAACTTGTGAAAATGAAATAAAAAGACTTGACACAGTATAACATAGAAATATACAGTCTTTATTATAATGTAACAGACTTACTTTGGACAACAGATTTTCACTGGATTTGTACTGGATTGAAGCTTCCATATCAAGACTAACTAGCTTAAAATTATCTACCAAACTGTTTAAATTCAACATTTCTTCCACGTAATGTCAGATTTACTTAGAGTGACTAGCTTTACCCATGTGATTGGTCATTCTCATTCAAACGTATAGTAGACCACAAGATAAATAAAAATTGTTAATTTAAGAAGGGGAATAGGGATCATCAAAAACTACAGAAACAAGCTAAATCAAAATGCAAAGGTTATATTTTCAAGTGTCTACATTATTTTCTCAAGCTACAAATACCTCTTTTGACTTCATGTCTACAGTACTTATTCGTTTTAGTGGAGTCAAAATAGGGATTTATAGCTTTAGAAAATAATGTTGACACTATTTCCAGCCTAGTTTTTTTATTTTTCTTTGAGTCCCTAATTGTAGGCTTTAAAAATATAATCTTTGAATTTTGATTCAACTTTTTTCTGTACTTTTTTGATGATCCCTATTATCCTCTTTAAATTAACAATTTTTAATATCTTGTTTCTTCAGTTTCTTATGTCATTTTATGGAGAATAAGTTTAAATTATATACATGCATATGCATTCATTTGAATGTTACGTGTTTTTCAGCAGTGTACTGCTGCATTGGCTTTTTTTACACCCAACTGTTATTCACTGAGTCAGGTAGTTTTGTGCCTGAGGTTTCATGTACACATGTGTTTAACAAGAGAAGTATGAAAATCAGTAGAATAAAATATCACATACATGAGTAGAAAAATCTACTATGGTAATCATCAACTGTTACAAGATGCACTGAAATAGTTGCAGAAAACCAGGTAAAGACGAAGTACAACAGCAAATACGAGAAATTATGAATTCCGATAACTTTACATTGCCTCTTCTCATATATATATATATATATATATATATATATATATATATTCTGTCTAGTACGTCGTCCGTCTTCTATAGTTAACGTTTAAAGTTTTACGTACTACTAACCACTACGAACGTCGT